GGAAAGAGAAAATGCGACGGGCTGATGGGGGTGAGGAGAGAGGGTACGGAGGATACGGGAAAAGGATGAGCGCGAGAAAGAGAGATAGGATGGCGGCGGGGATATTGAATGACACGCACAGACCGAGAGAAAGATGGGCGGAAGATTCGACGAAAGAGGGGAAGAGATTTTTTTTTATTATTCTCTTCTTGCAATAGAGATACACCTCTAATCGATAATGTACGTTTAGAAGACGAGTGTACGTGTGTGTTTGTGGTATATGAGCGGAGAAGGAAAGAAGAATAGCACGCCGAGTGTCCAATAACGAATTCTGCGAGCGACGACGACGGTGCGTGTGCGATAAGACGATGTGTGCATTAAATGAGACACGAAATGAGACAGAAACGGACGGTTAATCGAAGACGGGAAAGGAAAGAGAGAGGGAGAGAGGAAGAAAGAAATGAGGCGACGTAATCCGTTCCTTATGTTTCGCGTAATGAATCGGTCAAGATCCGACGACTGACAAATACACGATTGCATTAAGGATTAAAACAGACATAATTTCGGCTAATTCAGAGTTTGCAATTATATAAAATGGATACGGAAAAATCGAATTCTATATCAAAAAATTACATGCAACAACAAAAAATACATGCAACAAAATAAAAGCCGAGAAAAGATGTTATTTGGTAAAATTTTTTTATCACGAATATATCGAGAGAGAAGTGTAATATTTATTAATTAAAAATCACACGTGGCTCACACAATTGCAACATGCGCCGATGACAGAATACACGATGTCTTTCTCGCTCTATCAGATTAATTTTTCAAAATTGAAAGCGATGCAATCTCTTGATTTTGGATTCAAAATTTTACATGCTATAGTTATTTAAAAAACTGTCAGTTGCCGTTAATTGATTATCGCGAATAAATATAACAATCATTTTTGCGTTAAAACTATCGCACATTCTTGGATAACATTCGATAACTGTAAAATACCTTAATTGAGATTTTATTAAAGGACGATTAACTTGCGCGCGCGATTGTTTAAATAAAAAAAAAATAGACTCAAACGTCACGATCGTCCGAGACAGGTCAAATCCAACAAGATGCGAAAATCGCAAATTGCGCGCGTAAATTCTAACGAGGAAAACGTAATTGGACATAGTTATGTGCGAATACTTGGACTAACGCCGATTACCTCCACTTTCCGCGATGACGCGTACCGGGAGTTATTGTTTACTGTTGTAACTATATACGACTCTATACAAGCGAAGCGAGATTTACTCTAGAGAGATGCGCTCTCGAATGCGCGGCCCTTTGTTTAATTACCTTGTGGGGTCAGAGAGAGGAAGAGAGAGAGAGAGAGAGAGAAAGTCGCTCTCACGTGCGTCGCCCCTCCCCCGGTGTCGTTTCGCCGATTTTCAAACCACTATAACCACCACCACCATCCTCCGACCTCTGGTTCCGTCTGCGGTCTTGGCGGTCTCCTCTCTTGCTTCCGATCCTTTTCCTCCGCACCGGCTGTCACTGTGCGGCACGTGTCCCGCAGTTAAATATCATCGTTCACCGACGACGATACGCGCGCGGTACCAATTGACTGAATCCCGGCGGTGCCCCCGTTATCGCCGTTACGTCTGAAAAGCATCCGTGTATTTTTTTTTTTTCTTTCTTTCTCTTCGAACTCTCCGAGAATGATATATGAGGGAGAGAGAGAAAGAGAGAGAGAGAGATTTCCCATGTCGCGCGCTTCCGATCTACCCTTTCGTCGCTGACAGCGGTGCTTGCATACCGTGCACATGTGCGTACGCATGCATTCACCCTCCCTCTCGTTTGCTCGCGCGCGCAACTCGTGCACTCAACGTGTGCACAAGTCACTCTTACGCGACGACCGTCTCTCTCTTTCTCTCAAGAACACACGCATGCATATATATATATATATATATATATTTATATATACATATATGCACGCACGTATACACTCGCGCACTCGCATACACATGTTGACACTGTCGCGATCGTCGAAGAGCAGAGTCTCATCCGCTGTTTTCACATACGAGAACCGAGCGAGTGCTGATGAGGAATCATCAAAAGGATCTCGGCCTCGCCTTTTTCTCTCTCTCTCTCTCTTTCTTTCTTTCTTTCTTTCTTTCACTCTCTTCCGTCCGTCGATCTCGTTTCGACCGCAAAATATGAAATCAACCGCGAGACGAGGCGATAACGACCGACGGGCACGGGTGAACGTGTCTGGACCGGGATGAATGTACCTACCACGTGTGCCGATCCGGTGAGGAAGGAGAGCGTATACGGTCCCCCGTGGTCTAGCTACGCGTCCCCGCGATTGAAACAACGGTCCTCGGTGCAAGTTCGAGGTCGCGGATGAACGAGGACACCGATAGGCATAATCACTGTCGCGGGGAACGGGGACTTGCCAATTTGCGACGACGGTTAAGGAGTTTGAAAGTGAGATGAAGAGAGAAAGAATGTGCGTATGTTGTGTGTGTGTGTGTGTATGTATGTGTGTATATGTATGTGTGACAGATGGAGACAGCGGGAACGAGGACGAGCCGGAAGGAAAAAAAAAAAAGGAGAGACGTGCGTAACGTAAACCGGCGCGTTACAGTGACACCACGAGCCGACGAAGCACCAAGTATGGGCTGCTGTTCCCGAGCCTGGTTAGGACTAGCATGCGGGGGGAAGGCTCCCGCTCGTCCGCCGTTATTCTTTATCGGAGCATGAGACATCTGTCGTAATAAGTGCGGACTAAAAAATAGTGCGTACGCAGAGAGAGAGAGCGTGAGAGAGTCGAAGGCGTGCGAGAGCGAGAGAGCCGGCTGCCACCGGGCGCCATGGTGGGAGAGGTTGATGCTTGCGGCCGCGGCGGCTGTTTCTCTCCCCGTGTACCCCGCAATCTTGGTCTCTTCCCTCTGCCGCACACGCTTTCTCTCTCTCTCTCTTTCTCTCTCTCTCTCCCTCTCTCTCTCACTCTCTCTCTCTCATTCTCCGCCGCTCCGGCGCGCTCTACCCCGCCGTAATCAGTTCATGAGACGAAAATGCGCGTAGCCGCCGCGAAACGAGTCCGGTCTCGAGCTATAAAAATGTTGATGCGCCCGAGCCGCGAGCATCCGAAAGCGTTACATCAAAGCTCGCTTCGCTTTTTCGGATGCTCGCGGAATCTCGACGTCTCCTTCAGGCTCCCTTCAATCTTGCGATAATCTCGAGAATCATTCGCATTCGAATGTTTCGCAAAACTTGCGAGAGCTCGAGATGCAAAAATTGATCCTTGATTCGAATTTGTGAGCAGGAGAAGAGAGAGGGGGAAAGGAATTTGACGCTTCGAATGTCATTTCGAAGGATGACGAAACGTTAAGTTAAATTTAGCCCGTTTTCGAGAAGAGCGAGATTATAAAATGGTCACTGCATGTTTCGACTGAGATCGATAAACGAGATCCGCTCGGCCGTTTCCCCGATAATTATGTACCCCTCATTCGTTAACATTAACGAAGCAAAAACGCGTTCGCTCACTCGCTCGCTCGTTCGGGTATTTATCCTTGCCGCGGCACGCGCCGTCCTGCTCCTGCTAAACTCGACAGTAGCACCCAGAGCTATTACCCCCCCCCCTCTCTCTCTCTCTCTCTCTCTCTCGCTCTCTCTTACCGCCGCGAGCCGTGCACCGCCGTAGGCGACCCCACTCGATTCGCCCCTCAAAAAATCATTACGCCCTTCCACGGGCTGCGCATGAACGCGGTTTTAATTCGCTACTAGAAAAGTAAAATGTAAACGGTGGTGGGCTCGAGGGCCCGTAAAGGGGCGCGGGTGGTGGTGGCTGGTGGCGCGCTTCGGGAGGATGAGAAAAAGGCGGATAGAGAGCGAGGGGGATCTCGCGGGGTGGGAAGGGGGGGTGGGACGCGAGCGGTATATACGGGGGGGGGTGCCGGACGACGACGACGACGACGACGACGACGACGACGATGGGGGTGGGAGACGAAGTTTCGCGGACGTGGTCGAGGACGAGGCAAGCGAGGCGTACGAGGAATGAAGCGACTACGGGAGCGCGCGCGACGTAGGACAGATCCTTTTTCCTCCGACTAGCGACTAGCAGGCAGAGTAAGCAGCAGCAGCAGCAGCAGCAGCAGCAGCAGCAGGAGGAGGAGGAATATGACGGCGCGAGGATAGGGCGCGCGGTAGAGAACGTGGTGGAGGGGACCGGCGACGAGAGAGGAGGATATGCTGCGCCCCTACTTCTCTAGGGGTTCCATTGTAATATTTATTGATTGGATTCCTAGGAGCCCAGGCTGTGAGGGCTGTGGCACCTATGCTTGGACTAGATTGCGTACGAACGCTCTCACGACGATCTCGCCACTCTTTTTCCACTACTCGCTTTTTTCCTCGCCTCTTTTTTTTTCCCACGCGTTACCTATCGACGTTTTTCCCTTGCTCTCTCTACGATCCACGTGGCAAGATTTGCGTAAATGCCTGTAACACATTTCGAACGAAGGACACGTGCCCACGCACGAAAAATTATGACGAAAAATCGCGGAAAGCGAATGAATTACAAATGCGATACGTATTAAAAAAATTTAAGACCCAAGTGAAGCAATAAAGATCATTTAAATTGCGCGAGTTTATTTTGCAAATCTTTTTCGTAGAAAATTTGATACAAATAGTATATGTGTTTGGTGCATATAATGGATTATATTTCTATATTTTACGACTGCAACAATTAAAGATGAACGATAGTATCATGACACACAAACATACTCGATGTTTAAAAATTTAGTATTAATTACGAACGTTTCTGCAAAAAAAAACCACCGACTTACATATAAAATTTTGCTAAAATCGATTTACAGAAAAATTATTTTACAAAAAAAATCTATATACTTTTGTCTTAGGAAATTACTTTTGTATATAGATCGATGCAAAATTGTCGTTCGATAATTTAGCGACACTCAATTTTAGCAGCAATTATCAAACATGCACCATCTACACAAATGCAGATATAAAAATTCGCCAGAGTCGTAATTAATTATCGTTTCTTGAGGATATAAAACGCGAGAGACGTACACAAACATCGTCGTGTATAAATATCGGCAGAAACGACGGAACTTACTTTCACTGGCCTTTCGTATATCAATCGTTTTGCATATATATAGCACGACTAGTCCAATCACGTGACGATGCGTTTCGCTTGCAGGTTCGTGTCTGCGTCAGCGAGAAGCAGCAGGTGTCCAAAAGCAGAGGTGACCACACTGCGAGAAAGAGTTTGGCAGGAGGTGGTGGACGTAATGCTGGTAAAAGAGGGGAAGGGGGAGGAATGGATGAAAGAGATACTGGGAGAGAGAGGAGAGTGGAAGGAAGAGAGGGAGGAGAAAAAGAGAGAGAGTAAGAGAGGGGAGAGTAAGAGGGAGGAGAGAGAGAGAGAGAGAAAGAGAAAAAGGGAGAGAGAGTGTGTGTGTGTGAGAAAGAGAGAGAGAGAGAGGGGGGGGAGAGAGATTGAGGCGAAACGAGGAGAGCGTGCGCGTTCGAATGGCGTGGAACTGGTAATCCTTGATCTTACGTGACGTAATAAATCCTTTCCGAATACAGGAGTTGCGTTAAATGCAGAGTATCTCGCAAGTCCGCGAGGAGCGAGCCTCGAAGAAGCGGCAAAGATTTATAACCGCGTGTAATTGATTTTAATGAACGGCTTTCTCTCCCTGTCGCGCATGGATTTGGCGAAATCTCAAAGATGTTCTCAAAAGTGAACGCACACGAAAACTTTTGCGGCATTTGAGCGAACGATCATCGCGTGCAAATTTACAAATACAACACAGCCCATGCGTAATTGAATTTCAACGAGCGCCTCATGTTAAATTAATGTAGAATATTAGAATTGCATAATATTTTTTTTATATTCCTCTTTACGTATTCTTTTTTTTTTTTAAATATTCTTCATATTATGCATTCATAAATGCGTAGACTATACGAGCAGTAAAATTTTCACTAGAATTTATCATTAAACAAATATTGGTTCGCGAAACACTTGATCGATATATAATTTTTTACTATTTTATTTCTGTATAAAAATTCAAGTCCGCATATGTTAATTACTACTGTGTAGTATCGGGAAGAGAAGCTTTTGTAACGTAAGCGTTGTACGCGTCCGGATGGATGCTTGAATTGCAGCCAGAAGCGTCCGCACCATGTAATCATCCGAACCGACCTTTTTTTGCACACCCTATATTCTTCATGCGCACGGACGGATCCCCATCGTTCCGTATCGTTCGTCCACTTGCTGCTGCTTGCGCTTGCCATTACGTCGGTGTATAAAACATCGCACCGTGTATATTTGGGTTATTTCAGTAGGAAGATAAGATTCTCTCGGCGAAATTCAAATAATTTTAAACAAGAAAGGCGTCGCATAGATATTTTTATAAAATTATCATTTTCATTGAAAAATTAGATATCTAAAATTATAATACGTTACGCAAGAGAAAAAAAAAACGATGTATTACTAAAATAGTGCCAACAGCAACTATTATAATCATCCCGGTTCACACGTTCCTCATTTAGAATATGGAAACTATTCCTGTATATACATAGCTTCCTTTCTTCTTTAAAATTATCTAAATAATACTTGAATTTATCCCTTCCCCAAAATTTTATCTTAAAACACGTTGTATATTTAATTTTCGACGAAAAGAAACGAAGGAAAATATCAAGAGAAGTGCACGAATAAATGTACCAGATTTTATTCCGGAATTATCGATTTTTAACTACCAATTGCCAAGACGTCATCATTTTCTAGATTATTTATATTCGGTATGAAACACAAAAAAAAAAAAAAATCTATTCGTCGAAAATCGTACAACGTTGTTTAATTACGATAGATAGCAGCAGATCGCATTAACGAGCGAGACGTACCGAGTAGCACGAAGCACCCGAAATTGCCTCCCCCCCCCCTCCCTCCCTCCGTTTAGCGGCCTGGAAACGTCGTTAGCGCTACGCACCTGTCGGTTAAAGTGCCGTCGAGACTCGGCACGTTTTCCGGGATCCGTGGCGACGAATATCGACGGCAACATACATGCATACATGCGACTATAAATCGCCCCGTTTAGGGAAGCGACGCGGCTGCCCGCGTCCCAAATGCACTTTGCACACGCGAAGTAACAAAAGGCGGAGGTGAGGCGTCGGGGCAACACACATACGTTTGATCGCTACGTACCCTTCCCCATTCTTTCGTCTATCCTTCTCCGGTCCCCGATCGCCTCGGTCTGCCTTCACAGAGACCTCGATCTCCTCTTTTTTTCTCTCTCTCTCTCTCTCTCTCTTCCTTTCTTCCTCTTTCTTTCTCTTCTCTTTCTCCGTCCCCTCCGTCCCGTGCGAACCGGTACCCTTTCCTTTTCCCCTGCACTCGCAAACATTTGGTGGCCGTTGACCTCGAGCGGGCTAATCCGTCGACAGCCAAACAACCAATTATTTCTCTTCAACGGTACGCTTCACCACGGCCGGTCGACATATAGCGTTAAACGTGGGAATGACCGACGAATCAGGTGAAAAAAACTTTGACCGATTGCATCGATGCATTGAGGACAGCGTAGCGCTAACTTTAATCAAGTCGAGTTTCTCTCATCGCGTTTATCTCATAAGCACCCCCCCCTCCCTCCCTCCGTTTAGCGGCCTGGAAACGTCGTTAGCGCTACGCACCTGTCGGTTAAAGTGCC